TGTGAACTGAGGTTTCATGCAGGTCACACAAAAGGCTGGAAGTTTAAATAAGGAATAAACATCTTTATATTTTTAACATTTTATGTTCAGTGTTTTCAGAGACATCACATAAAGAGTTCAGATTTAGTGTTTATTATCTTTTATTTCTTTATTCTTTGCTTGTTTTTGTTTCCACAGTAAAAAGTGTCACACTAAGTGGACGTCCACCTCTTCTTATTAAGTCGTACAGGTTCCAGTTATCATCCAGGTAGGAATTACAGAGAGTCAAGTGCTGTGTCAGTGCGGTTTACCGATAAAGAGAACACGAATTACAAAGTAGAAAAGAACTGCAAATTAATAATGCCAAAGGTGGCGGCTCTGAATTAGTCTCGGCAGCTAGAGGGCAGCACATACGCCCACATGGCCCTTCATACATGTTTTAGTGGCCTGTTTATTTACTTATTATGCTGCTTGCCCGTTTTAGACTACTTCCAGCCTGCATGTTGGAACCAGAGCTCTCGACATGTTGATACCATCAATTCAAAATAAGCTGAATTATTTTTATGAAACACAAAAGGAAGTTTAACGATTTGATATGTTTTACATGTTTAACTGTAAGTAAATTTATGAGATTTTATAGATGTGTTAGATGTATATATATTGTTATAATATTATAATATACAGATTATAACATCTCATTTATAACATCTAACATATGATAGTATATATACATATATATGTACACAGATAGTACACCTAACCTGTACTTTGTTACCTCTTAAATGAAGCCCCTGTATCAGGTGTTTAGCTGGCTGTATTGAGATGTTGTCATGGTAATTTCATTTTGCAGCTGTGACAAAGATGGACGAGGCAGGTAAACACTACTCAGATGTGATGCCATTGGTGAAATTTAAGAAAATTAAATTATAAAACCATCACAATTACAACACAGAGTTCAGTGCAGGTTGGAACTGTCCACCCATGTCAACATACTAATAGAAAAACATTAAGCTAGCTAAACTACAGCCACATCTTAAAGATGCAAAAGCCTGGATGACTTTAGTTAGAGAGGAAAGTTATGATGGTTTGGACGTGTGCAGAGGAGGGAGAGTGGATATCCTGGACAAAGGGTGGTGAAGATGGAGCTGCAGGCAGGAGGAAAAGAGAAATACAACAGAGGGTTGGTTAGAAGGAGGAGGAGGATGCTGGGATGGAGGCTGACGAGTCACTATGGAGACCAGTAAAGGGAACATCCAAAAGAAAAGGATGGAATTCACAGAAAACTGAGGCTACTGTAAAAATCTCAGAAACATGATGCACAGCCAGATATTTCCTCTGGATGGCAGAGTAACGCTGGTTTCTTGTTCTGTTTTCCATTTAT